AGGAAATCCTTTCTCCCTCGCCTACAATTCCTCCATCTAAAGCACAAGTACACAGTGCAATAGTTGCTCACCCTCTACAGAGAAAATAGCAAGTGAAGTTTGGTGAGAGGGGCACCTTGTTGTGGAAAAAGGATTTTTTGAGATTTAGAGATAGAAAGTTAAAATCTGTGCAAAGTGGTCAATTACCATCAGACAAAATAATAACAGCTCCTTTAAAACCATCCTGAGGATACAATCTTTATCTGTTCAGTGGTAGGGAGCTCATTCCCCACAGTCATGTAGGCACCGGCCTGATAATGAAGACACATAGAGTAGGCCATGACCTTGAACACAGTTTATAACTAGTTTGTTTCTAAATCTTCACACTCTTGCTTGGTTCAGGAAAGTTACAGCTACATATCAGTAGGGTTAAATAAGGTGAAACACAAATATTCATTCACACACCTCAATGTCAACCATTTTTTTTTTTTTTGTAATATACCGGGATAGTTATAATTAGAACTATTTTTTTTAACTCCATAATTTGTTGTATTACTTACTGTCTAGGAGCAACTGTGACAATTTGATTACTTCTGGGATTAATGAAGTGCTCGGATTCTGATAGGTTATCCTAGCATTACTTCACTTCATGTTTTGTATGTATTCCAATTGCTGTGCATTATTATCAATCTTCTGTTTGCCTAATAGACTTGATTTGTTATGCTTGTGTAGTTTTCAATTATTAGATCAGTCTAAATATGCAGAAGTACAAAACTGTTAATATGAAAGTTGATATAACAGGAAACTGAGCTGTGAGGCTGCACACAGTTGCACATAGTCAATGTGATGAAAACATATTTACTATTTTTAAATGCAAGTGATGAAAAGTTTAGAAGCCAATTCTGTATTGATATCCAAGTTGCAGAAACAATTTAACTTTAATAATATAATAAAGCATGACCTGATGTTAATCTGGTAAAATGACATAAAGTATTTCTAAATGTTTAGGGCGTTATTATTAGTTTATTTTGTTAGTCTTTTAACCTTTTTCTATTTAAAAAAAAAAACCCTGAATATACTGTTTGAAAATAGTTACTTTTTTTGTTTGGTGTGCTATTATTTTTTTTATTACTTTCATTGAAAGTATACACAACACACTCCTTTAACAGAGAAATGACAGAAGGTGATGTGTATTATTTCACTGTTCTAGGAAGTCCACTATGGTAGCCATCAGATGCCACGTACTCTCACCATAAGTAATGGTTTTGTTATGTTCCCATCTTCACCATTCTTTCTATCAGCAGCCATCAGCAGCATTTTAGCATCCAGAGGTCCCCCCTACTGATTGGCAACACAACCTCAGACTACCACTGTCCACTGTTCAATATCCATTGTGTATCTTTGACATATATGATAAACAAATACAACCTTTCTAACCAAAAACAACCTTTCTAACTTTCATAGAAGTCAACACAAGAAGCAGTAATACTGAAACTACAACAACAAATGCCACAGCATCTTCAGCATCCATGTATTTACATATTAATGATAATTTCTGTCCTGTAACTTGATTCGTTATTAACTTACAAGATTTGTCTTTACTGTCACTGTTGCCAGTCTTGTGTCTGAGGACTATAAACTGGCTAGTATCCTAGAGAAACATTGAGACAAGAAAGGCTTACAGAAGAGGAAGTGTGTGTGCTTTGGGGATATTCCATCCATGCTGGTTGAGTTGTCAAAAAAGATGGGTTTGAAGATACCATACATCAGGGGACTCCTAACTCCTGATTGACCCTTTAAGTTTGACCTAGGGCTTCACAAAAAGCCCTCCAAACCTGGGAGATGAATTGTGGGCCTTTTGTTGGATGGAATGCTGTAGAGCCTGAACACATGATTAGCTGGGATCTTAGCAGTGTCAGAAGAAGTGGGGAGTTTAAATAATGGAAAGGAAAAGAAGATAATCTGTATGTTTTTAGTGGGAGACCTGCTACAAAATCCAATGCTTAACCTGAGTAATATGATTTGAAATTGATAATGTTTATAAATGTCCTGTAGGAACTTGGGGCCACTTCTTGCATAGATTGAGCATGTTGAAACATGTTCTTGTTTTGTGTTCTTATCCAGATGTGGGCACCAAAAAATCTCTTTAGTAGAAAAATTGTTTAATGTACTCCAAGTTAAGGCGGTTGCACTGGTGGCAGTGTGGACCAGTACCAGGATGCTCAGTTGTTGTTGTTGTTTTTTGTTTGTTTTTGTTTTTTTCATTTTTCGAGC